CAACACTCAGAGCCCTCTGTTCCTGGAGCAGGTTTGTAGAGCTCTGCACCTGGGCTGCTACAACAGCGGGCTTGGTTCGGTTTGCAGACTTTCCTGGGTTTGCAGACTCTAGTCCGGCTCTCTTCCTCCCCTGGTTCTCAGCTGCCTTTCAGCGGTCTTGCAGCTCCAAGAATTGAAGTTTTCTCTTGCTGTCTGAAGACCACTGCTGAGGTGCTTGCCTTGGGTTGGAGTCTTCTTTTTCCCTACTGTCTTCCTGGCACAACTTTCATGACACACCTACTACATGCTTGCTTTCACTTCCCTTTTTATAAAACAAGCTCTCCAATGAAGGAGAGGGTGGGGTTGTTTTAACCTTCTCAGGTAGCACGAAAACTCTGGATCCCAGGAAGAAAAATGCCTGCTTACTCCAGGTGGTAAATTCACTCTTCCACAGAGAAAGAGTTTTATTTCTCCTTTTTAAACAAAAAACAACCCCCCGAACAGTTTTCTCCACTTTCAAGAAAGTTGTGGCCCAAAATGTATTGGCATGTTAAGGTAATTAAAATTGGCTGTGTTTGGAGCCTCATGGAAATGAAAGAATTATATTCTTTTTATTCTTCTTTGCTTATCTGTCAGGACCAAAATACTTTCAGACCTGGAATTTTATTTTATTTATTTAGAAAATATATATGGTCGCCTGTCTTAAACAAAAAAACTCTGCGGTTGGTTTACAGTACAAAACCAATATATAACAACGTGAACAATATAATTAAAAACAGACGTAACAGATACAAGAACCAAGGTATCTCACAACCAACTCACAGCCCTGAACTCGTACATATTGGGCTCTAACTGACACCTGGCCATAATGCCTGAGGGGAGAGCTAGCTTTTCATGGCATTCCAGATGGCCAGCAGGATTGGAGCTGTCTGGATCTCAGGGAGGAGGCTGTTCTATAGGGCAGGCACCATGAATAACAAGGCACGTTTTCCTGGGCCCTGCAAGATGGCATTGTTTCACTGAGGGGCCTAGAGCATGCCCACCCAGTCTGATCTGGTGGGGCAGGCAGAAATAACTGGAAGCAAGTGGTCCCATAAGTAACTGGCCCTGGGCCATCCACAGCTTTAAGGATGATAACCAGCATCTTGAATTGCACCCGGAAGCCTACTAGAAGACAGTGCAGCCTATCCAGCAGTGGTGTCATATGGGGAAACCTTAGTGCACCCCAGTACTGGGTGTGCCATTGCATTCTGGACTATTTGAAATTTTCAAATGCTTTTCAAGGGCACCCCCATGTAGAATGTGTTGCAGTAATCCAAATGGGATTGACTAAAATATGAGTAAACAAGAGCAGAGCCTCCTAATCCAGGCCAATTGGTGCATAAGATGGATTTGTGCAAAGGCCTCCTAGACACATCTACCACCTGCTCCTCAAGTAGGATTCATGAGTCCAGGAGGACCCCCAGATTGCATGCCAGTTCTGTCTGGGGGAGTGCTACCCCATCTAAAGTTGTAGATGTAACAGCACCACAACCAGGGAGCCCCAAGACCCAGAGACACTCAGTCTTGCTAGGATTGAGTTGCAACCAGCTTATCCCTGTCTAGGCCCTCACTACTTCCAGGCATTGGGTAAGCATCTTGAGAGCATCATTTGTACAGCCGGGATGGAGTTGTATGCTGATGATACCATATCCTGTGCCAACGAATGACCTAAGGGATTCTGCATGTCTTTTCTACTTCCCCTGGAACTCAAGTAGCATTAAAAGGAACAAGCTGCTCGGTCCAAAATTACATTCCATCTGGAAGGTTGTTAACCCATCTGCTTTGAAATTCTGTACAGCCTCTTAAAGGAAACTAGAGGCTGTTCTCCTGAATAGCTATTTTCAGTTTAATGAGCTCTTGACAGCAATGTTAGGCTGTTAACTGGAGATCATCTCACAGAAGCTTTTCTCTGCTTCATAGCATCCTCCTAGAAAGCTTTGGGAAATCAAGAAGTATGTAGCTTTGCATGCTAAATGTTCTTATCTCCTGTTAAATTGTTTTTAGCTTGACACTTGAGAGATTTGCCAGGAACAGTGCACTTAGTAACTGTAAAGCATCACTGCCCATTTTATCCCAAGACTGTTGAAAAACAGGACAA